AGGTGCTCCAGCCCTCGCATCATCCTGGTGGCCCTTCTCTGGACTAGTTCTAACTGGTCCATGTCTTTCTTATGTTGGGGGCTCCAGAACTGGATGCAGTACTCCAGGTGGGGCCTCACAAGAGCGGAGTAGAGGGGCAGAATCACTCCCTCGACCTGCTGGCCACGCTTCTCTTGATGCAGCCCAGGATACGGTTGGCCTTCACCACAGATACATTCAGTAGCAGCATCTGTTTGCTCCAAGCTATGGCTCTGGGGCTGGAGCAATGCCATCATGTTATTATTTGATATAAACCCTTGGTCAGAAGTTTTCCAATGAAACAGGCTTTTCTCAACATTTGAATTGTTTCTTTTAGGTAGTTCTAGATAAAGAAAAGCAAGATATGGCCTCCAGTCAACAAAGGGAGCGCAGCAGAAACGGCTTCAACTATGGAACATACAACTCTTTAGATTCTGTGAGTATCTCAGCTTTAGGGGAAACAGATTCCTTTTTTCTGGCCTTTTTTTTCATGCTGTTTTCAGTCAAACATATTAGGATCTAAAATGTCTTTCTGGCTTCTTTCTGGCTTAAAAACATGTAGATTTGTTTTTAAATGGCTTAATTTTGTAGTCAGCACCATGAGCCAGGGCTTTCCCTGACAGAACATTGGAACAGCCAAGTGTTGATCATACTTTTTCATAAACTTTTCTGCAGAGTCTTGTCAAAACCCTTCCTTCTGACCCTCAAAAGAGATTGAGAAATACATGAATTTGAAATAAGGAAATATAGGAAGCCAGTAGCCATCAAGCAGAGCAGAGGGTAAGGTATTTTCACTAGCAGAAGTTCTTAAAGAGGGTTTTGAACTTATTCCTGAAATAAATGGATCTTGATGATCATAGAACCATAGAATGGTTTGGATTGGAAGGGACCTTCAAGATCATCCAGTTCCAACCCCCCTGCCATCAGCAGGGACACCTTCCACTAGACCAGGTTGCTCAAAGCCTCATCCAGCCTGGCTGAGAACACTTCCAGGGAGGGGACATCTACAACTTCCTTGGGCAACCTGTTCCAGTGTCTGACCACCCTCACAGTGAGATATAGCAATGCTTCCTTCTCCTTTGTGACGTTAGGAACAGCACTGACTGCACTGACGTAAGGTGAGGTGGGGCTTTGGAAAAGTCATAGTAATGAAGGTAAAAAGGAGAGAAAAGTAGATTTCATCAGGTCCTACAATTGTTCTGGGCAATATTCTGTCTATAAATGTCATGTCAATGTCATCATGACTTTTCATTTCAGATTTATGCAGAACTGGATCATCTTGCATCTGAGTACAGCAACATTGTCTGTAAGTTCCAGATTGGGGAATCCTATGAAAAGCGACCTTTGTACGTGCTCAAGGTACGACATATATCACAGACTGTGTGTATATACATATGCCCTCAGCACAGGAAAGACATCAACCTGTTTGAGAGGGCCCAGAGGAGACCACAAAAATGATCAGAGGGATGGAACAGCTCTGCTGTGAGGACAGGCTGAGAGAGTTGGGGTTGTTCAGCCTGGAGAAGAGAACGATCTGGGGAGACCTTATTGCACCTGTCAATACTCAAAGGGGGCCTGTAAGAAAGATGGGGACAGACTTTTCAGCAGGGCCTGTAGTGACAGGACAAGGGGTGATGGTTTTAAACTAAAAGAGGGGAGATTCAGACCAGATGTCAGGAAGAAACTTTTTACACTGAGGGTGGTGAGACTCTGTCCCAGGTTGCCCAGAGAGGTGGTAGAAGCCCCATCCCTGGAAACATTCAAGGTCAGGTTGGATGGGGCTCTGAGCAACCTGATTTGGTTGAAGATGTCCCTGCTCACTGCAAGGGGGTTGGACTAGATGACCTTGAAAAGTCCCTTCCAACCCAAACCATGATCTGCATTACAGATCCAGCACAATTCAGTCCAAAGCATCCCAGTCTATACAAAATATTCCTGACTAAAAAGTGTCACTGAGAGTTTTTCAAACCTTCTGTTTGGTTTGACAGTTCAGCACCGGAGGAAACAACCGTCCTGCGATCTGGCTCGACGCCGGGATCCACTCCCGAGAGTGGGTCACCCAAGCAACTGCAGTGTGGATAGCTAAAAAGGTGACTTCAGCAGTGATGGATTTTTTTTCTTTTATCTTGGGAATGCTTCTGACTATTTTTAAAAGTATCTCACCCCTGTATGTGTTTAGCCAGCTCTTGCTAACTCTCCTTCACCCCTCTTAAAACACAGCCAACTCCAGAGAGAATATGGCAGCTGCCTAGACAGAGAATTGAGAAATGCTGTGTGTGGTTAGAGTAGCTGGGAGAAGTTTTGGTAGATAAAATGTAGCAGCTCAGGTGAAATTGTTGAGGGCTGCAAGGTCAATAGTTATATAAATAACCAAGTTTTGAAGATTAGTTTGCTGCTTTGGTCTGTACACGCAGAGGAACACTGTGTCGTTGGTTACCTTCCACAAAAGTGCACCCTCAGCGAGTTTGCTGATGACACTGAGCTGTGTGGTGCGGTTGACACGCTGGAGGGATGGGATGGCATCCAGAGGGACCTGGACAGGCTGGAGAGGTGGGACTGTGCAAACCTCATGGAGTTCAACAAGGTCAAATGCAAGGTCCTGCACATGGGTCAGGGAGACCTCACGTACAAATCCAGGCTGGGCGATGAGTGGCTT